CACATGTGCTGTGTGAGTATATGTGTGCCCGGGCACACGTGCCCACACAGACGTTTGTTGTGGCCACACGAGTGTGCGTGGGTGCGCATCATGCCTGTGGTGTGTGCGCATGGGTTTTACAGGGGTGCTTGAGTGCTGCGTGCGTGTGCGTGCAGGGTGTGTGCCTCGTGCACTCTGTGAGCACGCGAGTGTGTGCCAGCGTGAGTGGCCATGCCGCCCTGCCTGGTGTCGGTGTCTCTGCGTTGCCTGCGAGCAGCGGGCCCTGTGTGTGCAGGGTGGGCCGCCCGGGAGCTGCGCAGCCCCCGACAAACCCTGCCCGTGGTCTCCAGTGCCCTTCCCTCAACTGTGTGTGGGGGTGCCTGCTCTCTGCCACCTCCTCCCTACGGGGCACCCTCCCCTGACCTGGGCGCCTCTGAGCTCCGTGCCGCCCCCACTCCTGCACCCCCAGGCTGAGCAGCTCCACCGAGCAGAGCACCTCCTCGCGGCTCATCCGGAAGCACAAGCGGCGGCGGAGGAAGCAGCGCCTGCGGCAGGCGGATCGCGTAGGTAGCGGCGGCCGGGGGGCGGGCTGGGCCCGAGCGCCCGCCCTGGGCCCCTCACCTGGTGCCCTTGCAGGCCTCGTCCTTCAGCAGCATCACGGACTCCACCATGTCCCTGAACATCATCACCGTCACGCTCAACATGGGTGAGGCTTCGGCGGCCCGGGGAGGGGGCGGGGGTCTGCGGGCCGGGCTGCTCACCGCTCCCCCCACAGAAAGGCACCACTTCCTGGGCATCAGCATCGTGGGCCAGAGCAACGACCGCGGGGACGGCGGCATCTACATCGGCTCCATCATGCGGGGCGGGGCCGTGGCCGCGGACGGCCGCATCGAGCCCGGCGACATGCTGCTGCAGGTGGGGCCGCGGGGCCGCGGGGGTCGGAAGGCCAGCACCCCCCTCCCCCCGCCCCCCCCCACGGCACTGAACCCCGTGCCCCCAGGTGAACGACGTCAACTTCGAGAACATGAGCAACGACGACGCCGTGCGCGTGCTGCGGGAGATCGTGTCGCAGACGGGGTGAGGGGCGGGGACGCGGCGGGGGGCGGGGCCCGCAGTGCGGGAGATTGAGTCGCAGATGGGGCGGGGACGTGGGGCGGGGGCGGGGCGGGCACGGGCGGGGGCTGTCCTGACCCGCCCGTTCCCGCCCGACAGGCCCATCAGCCTCACGGTGGCCAAGTGCTGGGACCCGACCCCCCGGAGCTACTTCACCGTGCCCAGGGGTGAGTGGGTCCGGGCGCTGGCGGGCGGGGGTGGGGGCGCCGGCCGGGCCGTGGGCCTCTCCCCCCTGCGCCCTCGCGCCCCACTCTCTCCTCCGCGTCTGTTCCTTCACCTGTCTGTTGCCACGTGGCGGCCACCCAGCTGACCCTGTCCGGCCCATCGACCCGGCCGCCTGGCTGTCCCACACGGCGGCGCTGACCGGAGCCCTGCCCCGCTACGGTACGAGCCCCTGCTCCAGTGCCGTCACGCGCACCAGCTCCTCCTCACTAACCAGCTCTGTGCCTGGCGCCCCACGTAAGTGGCACTCTTAGTCCAGGAAACTGGGGCACCGGCCAAGGACCAGGTCGAGGTGCCCGCGGGGTCGCACCCCGGGGCCTGCCGGCGTCAGCGTCCCTGCTGCTGAGAGGCCCGCTGCGCCCGGTGCCCGTCCCGTGCGGGGGCAGTGGAGGTGCCTGGGGGCCGGGACAGCCCGGTCCGCCCAGGGGCCCCGGGGCAGGTGCGCGTGAGCCCCGCCTGCGCTCTGCTGCTAACACGACTAACAGCGGGGGAGGGGCGGTGGGAGGGACAGTGCCAAGGTCCCACGGGCCTCTGGGCTGAGGGGGGCCCCAGCCCCGAGGAAGCACCTGCAGGGCTAGGAGAGCAGTCCCCCATGGCCACTCCCCTGCCTGGGGGGCTCCAGGGGCCGCGGTCCGCCCTGAGGGCCCGGCCACTGCCCGCTGAGGAGGCCGGTGTCTTGCAGAGCTGGAGGAGGCGCCGCTGACCGTGAAGAGCGACATGGCCGCTGTGGTCCGGGTCATGCAGCTGCCCGACTCCGGGCTGGAGATACGCGACCGGATGTGGCTCAAGATCACCATCGCCAACGCCGTGATCGGTGAGTGGCCCGCCGGGTGCCGTGGGGCGGGCGGCGGCTGGGCTGCCGCCTGACGCGAGCCTCGGCAGGGGCGGACGTGGTGGACTGGCTGTACACGCGCGTGGAGGGCTTCAAGGAGCGGCGGGAGGCGCGCAAGTACGCCAGCAGCATGCTGAAGCGCGGCTTCCTGCGGCACACGGTGAACAAGGTCACCTTCTCCGAGCAGTGCTACTACGTCTTCGGGGACCTGTGCAGCAGTGAGTGGGGGCTGTGGGGCGGGGCTCCGGGGAGGCGGGGCTCTTGGGAGGCGGGGCCCGGGGGAGGCCCGCCCCTGCCGCTCTCACCCATTGTCCCCTCCCGCCAGATCTCGAAGCCCTGAACCTCAACAGCGGCTCCAGCGGGGCCTCGGACCAGGACACCCTGGCCCCGCTGCCCCACCCGGCTCCCTGGCCCCTGGGCCAGGGCTACCCCTACCAGTACCCAGGGCCCCCGCCCTGCTTCCCGCCCGCGTACCAAGACCCCGGCTTCAGCTACGGCAGCGGCAGTGCCGGGAGTCAGCAGAGTGAAGGTGAGAGGCCGCCGGGGCCGGCTCCCTGCCGCCCGCTGCCTGGCTCCGCCCTGTGTGCTCCGCCTGCTCTGCTCGGGCTTTGGGTGGGCTCCCCTTCCCCGGGAGAGCGGGGGAGTGGCTGAGGGGGCGGGAGGGAGGAACTGGAGGCTTAGGGGGTTGTGGGGCGGAGGCGGGAGGCGGTGCGGGAAGGGCAGCGAGTGTCGGGGTGGGCCAGAGCAGCCAGGCACCATGGAGGACAGACCGCTCCCCCAGGCGCCTGCCGCCCGGCCGGGGGCCACAGGCGGTGGTGACCGGGGCAACCACACCCCACAGCGGGATGTGCGGTGGTCTCGGGGACAGGCTGGGGCGCCCCTGAGGAGGGACAGTGGCCTGAGGCAGAGTAGACCAGTGTGGCCGGGGGCAGGGCCCGCAGGCCCTGGGGAGGGTCAGGCCCCTGGCCCTGCGAGTCCAGGCAGGAGGGCAGGGCGCAGGGCCGGAGGGAGGCTGGTGGCGGGCGTGCCCTGGTAGGCGGACACGGGTGCGCGGGCGGGGCCTGGCGTGTAACTCCTGCTATCCCTTGCTTTGTGCTGAGCAAGCCTTAGACTGAAGGACTAGCGGAACGGACCCTCGGGCCGGTAAGCCTGGGTCCTGTCCGGCGTCCCTCCCGGCATGCCCCTCGCCGGCTGGCGTCCTCGGGTTCCCTGTGCTTCCTGAGAGCCCAGGACGCGGCTGGGCCGAGTCGCTGGCCAGGGCCGTGGGGTCCGAGCGCAGGCGGGTCTCGGGGAGGGGCGCCCGGGAGGGCCGATGCGAGCCGGCACACCGGCCCCCACTGCCGCCTGTCTCGTAGCTTCCAGGCCAGGCCCTCGGTGCCAGCATCAGGGTGAGATGCGGGGGCGCCGAGCTGGCCCCAGGGGAGCCCCACCTGCCTGCCGCTGCCCCCGCCCCCCGCCCCCCCGCCGCAGCTGCTCCTGCGTCCGGGCAGGGCCAGTCCCGCCCTGTGTCTGCATGGCCACCCCCGCCCCCGCCCCAGCTTGGGACCACCAGGCTCTGTCCCTGGCTGCCCTGGCAGCGACCAGTTGTCCTGGAGGAGCTGGGGCCTGGCACTGACCGTCCATTCTCCCCCCTCCCCACCGCAGGAAGCAAAAGCAGCGGGTCCGCCCGGAGCGCAGGCGGGAGCAGCCGGCGGGCTCTGGGCCGAGAGCAGGAGCGCCGGGGGCCGGGCGCCGGGGGCAGCGGCAGCGAGTCGGACCACACGGCCCCGAGCGGAGCAGGCGGCAGCAGCTGGCGGGAGCGTCCCGCCAGCCAGCTCAGCCGTGGCGGCAGCCCACACAGCCAGGCCTCAGCCGCTGCCCCGGGGCTCCCCCCGCTGCACCCCCTGACGAAGGCATACTCGGTGGTGGGTGGGCCGCCTGGGGGGCCCCCCGTCCGGGAGCTGGCCGCAGTCCCCCCAGAGCTGACAGGCAGCCGCCAGTCCTTCCAGAAGGCCATGGGGAACCCCTGCGAGTTTTTCGTCGACATCATGTGACCGAGAACAGCGCACTCTCTGCTGCCCTTGCTGTGGGGGTGCCGGGGTCCCGCTGCCCCCTGCAGGAAGGCGCTAGAGCTTGTGTGGCCTGGCCTTAGCCGTGGCCACCCTGGATCAGGCCAGTCTTCCTCGTGCACAAGGGGCCATGCTGTGGGGTCCAGGGCTAGACAGAGTGGGAGCAGGCTGGAGGGCAGCCAGGGCCCTGTGAGCCGGACTCAGCAGCCCAGATGCTCCCGCCAGGCCAGCCGTGCCCTTGGCGACCCTGGGGAGCTGCCTCTGTGCCCCCGGGACCCCTGCTGCCCAGGGCATTGTGCACAGGGCCCCAGGCCGGGCCAAGCGGTGGCGGCTGGGCCGGAGCCTCGCTGGCCGCCCAGCCTGCAGCCCCCACCCGCCTCACAGGCGTGTAATTTATTTATTTATTGCTTGGCCTGTGTCCCGTGGGGGAGGGGTGGCCAAGTCGGCCCCATCCCGGCCGGAACAGGGCTGGCATGACCCCTCTGCCGCCAGGTCTCTGCGTGAATGCAGGGACAGAGATCCCATCAGAAGGTGGGGGGGGGGGGCTGGTGAGGGGTGGGTGGGAGTGGGGCACTTCTCGGCAGAAGGCCAGGTAGAGTGTGACCCATGGGTGCTCAGTTGCTGCTGGGGCAGCTCTGGGGAAGCCGGGGGGACCAGCGCCCCGCCCCGCCGCCCCCGGTCCAGCCCACGGCGCCCTGGCTCCCTCCCCGCGACCGGCCTGCACGCATCTGTGCTGCTGGAGCCATCACCAGTCAAGAGTGTCATCCGGGTCGTCGCGGAGCCGCTTCTGTGCAAATGCTATTTTAAACACTAAAAAGCATTTAATTTTATGGGGCTGACGTGTGGCCTGTGTCTCTTCTCCCCGGTCTGCCTGCCTTAATGAGTAAGGGGGGTGTGGGAGCAGGTTTGGGCTCCCCGGGGTCCCGCCAGAGTGGACCCGGGAGTGGCCAGGCACTGTCCTCTGGGTCCCGGCTCGGTGGAAAGGCGCTGACCCGTGCTGGCAGCCGGCGAGGTCCTGGCAGAAAGTCTTCTGTGCGAAGCGCGGGCTCCAGGGGTCCCCACTCAGCAGCCGGCGCTGGCCTTGGTGCTGACCCCCGACCCTGGCTGGGCTCTGTCCACGGTGCTGGTGGTGGGCTGACCCGTTCTACCCACCCAGGCCGGGAGAGTGGGAAGCTGGTGCCCCCTCCTCACCAGGGGGCCTCTCTTCTGCACTGGGGCCCGTGGTCAGGCAGCTCCAGTGATGATGGGTGGGGCGCTGGTGGGGGACCCAGGCTCTGCCCAGCCGGGGGTGAGGTCTGCCCACCTTGAGCTCCAAGTGGCCCACCTGTGGGACTTCCCTGAGTGTGGTGTGGGCTGCAGGGGCCCGGGAGCCCTCTAGCCTTTTTCCCTGTGGGGGTCCCAGGTGGTGAGACCTCACAGGGCCCGTGCAGGCCCAGGGCCATCTGGGTAAGGCCAGCAGTCAGCCTGGGAACAGAATCTAGAGGTGGGGGTGCAGCGCTCAGCAGAGTCTGACCCAGCCGTACGGAGATCAGGTCTGGTTTCAGTGGGGCGAGGCCACTGGGTCACGGGTCACTGGTTTTTGCTCAGTCTCCTGCCCTCCCCCGCTGCCGCCTCGCCCTCCGGCATCGCCAGGAACCCCTCCCAGGAAGAACTCGGGAGTGTTGCTCTCCGGCCGCCACAGCAGCAGGTAGCACTTGGGCAGGTGGAAGGTGGCCAGGATGCCCAGGGCACAGATCAGGCTGATGCCCATCTGCACAGCGGGCTGGTGGGCCACGTGCACATTGGCGAGGAGAGGCACAAAGGAGAGCCAGGGGATGAAGTAGGCCAGCGCGGCAAAGGTGAGGCCACGGGCACCGTTGTAGCGGCCGGGCCGGCCGTGCACCAGGAAGGTGCCCAGGAAGCACAGGGACGCCAGCACGGCGTTGGCGCTGTGCGGCAGGCCGAAGCCGACCCAGGAGTGCATGCGGCAGTGCACCAGCACCTCCGTGGGCAGCACCTGCCAGTCCATCACCACCTGGGGCGGGAAGGCCCCCAAGGACCAGGCGCACAGCGCGGCCTCCGCCAGCATGGCGAGCAGCACTGCCAGCCAGGCCCGGGGCCCCCGCAGGTGAACGCGCAGCCGGTCGGCCCAGCTCGGCGGCAGCTCCGACTCCACGAAGACCTCAGCGGCCTGCAGGACAAGGGTGCTCAGGCAGCCGGCCAGCGGGAGGTGCAGCAGCGGCTGCTGGGCCAGGCATTGGGCGGGGCGGGGCCGCCCGGGGTACAGGAGGGCGCTGAGGCACACGAGGCCCAGGCAGGCCAGGCCGAAGCAGGCCCTCGATCCGCCCGAGGCCTGGACCAAGGGGCTGTCCCGGTGCTGGACGAATAGCCCCAGGGCCGCCAGCGCCAGGCCCAGCGCCAGGCCCAGCAGCGCCAGCAGCAGCAGCGTGGCCGGCTCCCCCCAGGCCAGGAACTTGGGCCTGCGGGGGAAGCAGTGCCGGCTCCCGTCCGGTGACCACTGGTCCCGCTCACACTGGGTGCAGAGAAGGTCGTCTGCAGCGAGGGGGAGAGAGGGGTGCTGGGGGCACAGCTCCCCGGGCCTGCCCCCACCCCAGGCTCCGGCCTGGGTGTCAGCCTCTGAGCTGGGACACACCAGGGTCCTCTCCAGGCTGTGCACCCCCCACCCTGCGGGCCACCCCCATGCCTACCTTGGCTTGTTTAGACCCGCAGGGAAGGGGCTGAGCAGGCAAGGGGGCTCACCTGGGTTGCGCTGGTAGCTGCCGGCCATGCAGCTCACACAGTCGTAGCAGCAGGAGTGGAAGCCTTTCACGCGGCGCACCTGGCCATCCTCGCAGCGCCTCGAGCACTGGGACACCGGCACCTGGCGGGGCCTCAGGACTAAGGCTCCGCCGGGCTGGGGCACCCGCCCCCGCCCTCTGTGGCGTGGCCGACCTCGGTCCTGAGCTGCCCCGTGGCTCTCACCATGTTACTCGGCGTGTGCCAGCGCATCTGGGACAGCTGCAGCTGCAGGTGGCCATTGAAGCTGCCCACGGTGCGCAGCTCGGGCATCGGGTCCCGCCACACCCACAGCTTCAGGTCATAGTCCAAGTGCACGCTCCCGCTGGCGTCGAACCGCAGCGGGAGGCCTCGCACCCGGAAGCTCATGTTGTACATCTTTGCCAGGAGCTGCTGGGCATGCGCAGCGGTGGGCGGGGCCAGGCCAGCCGCCCGAGGCCCAGACCCGCACCCCCGTCGGTGCAGGACGCACGCAGGGCCGGCGCAGCTCACACCGCACCCCCCTCACCTGCCAGGGCTGCACGGGCTCCCGTGTGGGGCAGCCCGAGGCGTTGCAGAGCAGCGTGTTGTGCAGGGCCTGGGCCACGCTGTACACCGCCGCGTAGACCGCAAAGGTCTGGTGGTGCAGGAGACCGGTGGACACATTGTCCAGCGAGGTGTGGTCGCACTGCGGGCAGCGCGGCCCCACCACGTGCTCCTCCAGGCCCGGCTGCTGCTCCTCCAGTGAGGCGCAGAAGGCGGGGTCGGCAGCCAGGGCCAGGCGGGTCTGCACATAGGACGAGAAGTCGGGCATCGGGGCACCCCGCTGCAGGAAGCCCAGCACGGTGCCCACCTGCGCCATGCCGGGCAGGGTCATGACCAGGTCCGAGGTCAGCCAGGCCTCACTGGCCACCCACACCTTGGGTGAGAGGCTGCAGTGGATGCTGTGGCTGAAGAGGGTGCGGGCAGCCTGGGGGGAAGAGAAGAGGACCACCACCTGCACGCTGCTCTGGTTCACCTGGTGTAGCAGCTCCTGCACGGCGTCCAGATCCCGGCCCGCGGCTCCAGGCAGCGGCACCAGGCCCTCGTGCGCGATGCAGATGCCCCTCGTGCCGGCCAGGCTGGAGAAGAGGCTCAGGCCCTGCCGGCCGTACTCCTCATCACTGCCCAAGGCGGCCACCCAGTTCCAGCTGAGAGTGTACAGCAGCTCCACCATAGCGGTCGCCTGCACTCGGTCGCTGGGCACCGTGCGGAAGAAGGACGGGAAGGCCTCCCGGTCGCTCAGCTTGTCCATGCTGGCGCCGTAGCTGACCTGCAGTGGCCGGGAGGTGTGTCCTGACGGGGGGCTGGCTCCTACTGCGCGTAGGGCCAGCGGGGGGGGGGGCGGCTTGGGGGCTGGGGGGGGCGCACCTGGGGCATGAGGAAGAAGCCGAAGAGCTTGCCGGTGACGAGAGCGAGCTCGGACGAGTGGGGCCCGATGACGGCCAGCATGCGGGGCTGGTACTGCGCGTAGTCGCAGCGGGCAGCCACATCGCGGCCACCTGCCTTGGCCATGAACATGAGGCTGGGCTTCATGGCCACCACGGGGTCCGAGCACGTGTCGAAGAAGTCGTAACCCAGGAGCTTCCCGGGCAGCAGGGTGGACCCTCTGTTGATCTCCTCCACGGCCATCTTTCCTGCCAGTGCCCAGAGCAGCCCGAGCGACGAGAACCTGGGGCCACACAGGACAGGGCTGCAGCTGGTGGGGCCTCACCCCTGCTGGGGAGCGCCCCAGCTGGTCCCCCCCCCGCCCTCCAGCCTCCCTACCTGGTGCACGCGGTGGTGTTGGGCTGTGTCCTGTCATGGAGGCCTGGCTCCTCGGCCAAGCTCAGGGGAAAGAGCCCCCCCAGCACGTAGTCCCCCTGCATCCTGAGCTGCCGGGACAGGCACAGCGGGGCCCCCGCCCCCAGGCCCAGCAGAGCGCAGAAGCCCAGGAGAGCCAGGCCTGGCATGGCAGGTGGTGGCCTCTGCAGGGATGGCCGGTGGGCGAGCTGGTGGGGGCCCAGATATGGTGAGTTGGGGCTGGGAGGGGGGGGAAGATTTGCTTAGCAAAACTCACCTGCCAAGCCCAGTGGCCCCCGAGGACGCCCTCGCTTTTCTGGGCCCAAGGTCTCCACACGTCCGTTTCTGTTGGCCAGATGCCACCAACGCTGGCCAACAACGACTCAGGCGGGCGGGCTCTGAGCAGCCGCTGGCTGTGACCTCGATGCCTTGCTGTGCCCAAGCCCCTTGGTGCCCATCCCACTCCTGGACAGGCAGAGGGACGCCCAGGACTTCTCCGCCTGAGAGTCCCCAGGCTCTCTGGCCGCCTGTGGGAGGGTCTCGGGGGAGCCGGTGCCTGGGAAGCAAGCAACCCCTTTGCTCTGCAGCCCTGGGTGGCACCTCAGCAGCCAGGAGGCGACCACAGGGGCCACTCTGAGGGGGTCCTCCCTCCGGCCCGGCCTCTACCCTGAGGCTGGGGTGGGGACCATCCTGGAGTGGGGGCCTCTCAGCCTGCCTGGGAACAGTGCACCTTGGGGCTCTGGATGGCGCCTCCGCCCCGGACCCAAGGCCTGGAAACATCAGGAGCCCTGGGGCTGGCCGTGTCCCCCAGGTCCGGGCACCTGCCCGGGCACGTGCCACCCTGTGGGGACAGGGCTCTTAGCTGGGCCTGCAGGGGGCTGCATGCAAAGGAGGGAGGAAAGGCTGTAACCAAATGGGCTGCAGCAGCTCTGCCAGCTCCAGGTGCACCGCCGCGGGCAGCAGTTCCGGGGCCCCTCCCCCGCACCTGGGGGCCCCGCCGGTGCCATGCTCCGGGGTGGACGTGCACCCCGGGGAGCTGGCTGGCGGCATGGCTGGGGTGGGGCTCTGGGCGCCTCGGCCAGGCCTGCCAGATGTTTACTGGGGGTGGGTGTGGGGACCAGTGTTTGTCCCCACGGGACTGTGGGGAGGCCGACTGCTCGGCACACTTAGGACACGCACGTGTACAACACCTGGTGCACCTGACACACAGTGCACTGCACCTGCACACCCACGACACGGTTCCCACACGTGTGCAGCACATGTGCTCCCCAGCCCGTGCGGATCCCAGGCAGTCCTCCCAGGGAAGTCCTGAGTTGCTGTTGGCCTTTGTTGGCACCACACGGGCCCCTGGCCACTGCTCAGTGTGGACAAGCCTCGGCATGGGCTCTGGCATTGGGGCGATGTGGCGATGTCCGAGGGGACCCTCCCTGACACGTGTCCTCTCTCAGTCTGGAGCCACAGTGCAGCCCCCACACCACTGGCTGCAGCTGGGCAGGTCTTTCTCCCACCCGCCCTTCCAGCCCAGCCCCTCGACCAATTTGTGTCTCATCACCAACAAAACGGTCCCCTGCGGGCCTCTGTAGGGGGGTGGGGGACCAAGCCAAACCCTGCATGGGGACAGCCAGGCAGCGGCGTCCACACGGCGGAGCGGGGGGCAGGACGCAGCACCTGTGGCTGACACTGCCCTGCCCTCCTGGCACTGGGGCCTTTGGCACCCCCCCGTAAGCAGAGACCAGGCACCTGCCGCATCTCCATCCTGAAATGCAGAATCCGCTTCTGTAATCGTGATTTATTTACATGGCAAAAATCGTCACCCGTATTACAGTTCCCGAGGTTCCCCGCCGCAAGGTCACGCTCGTGCAGGACTGCTGCGCGGTGGGCCCTCAGCACCCAAGGTCCTGAGATCACAGTGAAGAGGCAGTGGGGCAGGCCAGGTGCCCAGGGACGGCTGCGCGTGGCTGTCTGCCAGCCTCTTCAGCAGGGGCACCGGGCTCCCCCTGTGCCAGGCGTCCTGGGCCTTCTGAGCTCCGTGGGGACAGGCAGCCAGGGGCCAGGTGGGGGTGGAATGCAGCATCTTGCTGGATGCCCAGAAGGGAGAGGCCAGCCGGCCCAGCAGTCCTGGGCTCGCGGAGGCTCCGGGGTTGTGCTGTGCAGACTCACAGCAGCTGCCCGGGGAAGTGCGGCTGCAGAAGGCAGCTGACGTGTGCTCGGGGCTCCAGCTCTCGGCCGTCACTGCTGAGGACATGTGAGTGGCAAGGGATGGGAGGCATTGCCAACAGCTGCCCAGGTTCCCTCCCTGCCTGGGGCACACACAGCCCACCTGGGATGGAGGGGCCGCAGGCAGCCCACCTAGCCACAGACATAGGACCCGGGGGGCCTGACAGGACAAGCGCCAGCTGGCTACAGGGGCGGTGAGTCACCCCTCTCGCTGAGGGCTCACAGGTGAGGGCGGCTTCTCAGGCTTTGGAAGGAAGGCTGGGCCTGTTCGACCTCCCTGCACTCTGCACCTCACCCACCCAGCAGGCGCCTGCCTTCTCTGTCGCCCAGGTGGGCCATGCTTGGCCCGTGGCTCCCCACAAGCTCAGCTCACAGGGGGACAGTGGTTTCCCTGCTCCTGGGGCACCCAGAAAGCTGCGCTGTGGGACTGGCAGGCCCTGGCTGCCCCGGCCCAGCTCTGGGCAAGGGGAGGCCCTCCCAGCCCAGGCCCACCAGCCCCTAGGGCAGGTCCAGCAGGGCGTGCTCAGCATAGAGCTTCTGGGAGATGTCGTACACGTGCTGGATGAAGGGCAGGGCCTCGTCCAGCATCTCCACGGCCTGCTCGGGGGACCCCACGTTCATGGTCTCCAGGAAGACCTTGCGCGTGGGCAGCGTGCAGAAGGCCACGGTGACGGCCCGGCGGATGATCCAGGGGTGGTAGGCGGCCAGCGAGGCGTTGTAGGAGTCCGTGCAGAGCACGGAGGTGCGTGCGTCCTCGGGGCTGGTGCGCAGGCTCTCCAGGAAGAGCTGCAGCCAGCGCAGCGCTCGGTGCAGCCGAAGCACCGTCCGGCAGCCGGAGTCCGGGTGGCTGGAGCGGCGCTGCAGGTCCACCAGCTGGTTGCCCACCTCGTAGGCCACCATGGCCTGCAGGCTGCCGTAGTGGTCCCGCTGCGGGCCGCTGCGCAGCCGCTCCATGATCTGCAGCTTCGCCATCACGTCCTTGGAGATGAAGGAGAACATGACGCCCAGGCTGTTCAGAAACCTGGGGGTGGGGGGGAGGCAGGTGCTGAGCTTGGGGTGCAGTGGTGCCTGCACCCAGGGGTGTGGCCGGGGGAGCCCCACCCGGACAGTGGCCCCTGCACCCACCTGACCAGCCCCCTCCAGCCGGTGAGGTAGTGCTCCAGCAGCACCTCTCCCTTCTCATTGAGACACTCCTTGAAGCTGATGAGGACGACTCTCAGATTGAAGTCCGACTCCAGGTCATCCATCTCCCGTGGGGCTGAGAGTCAGCGCACTCCTGGGGGGGGGGCAGGAGCAGCAGGAGAGAATGACCGGGGTCCCACTCTCCCCAGGGGCCCACCTCTCTCTGCTTGGGTGGCACTTTCTCCGACACCCACCTGACTGTGCCGTGCCCCTTCCTGGAGCTGGTGCCCAGAGACCTTGGGCACCACCCCTCCCTGCCCCTCAGTTTTCCTCAACCCCCTCTTGCTACGTCTTAGGCACAGCAGACACCCCTGCTTGCGTTTTCTTGCTTATCTGGGCAAAGCGGGTCTCTCTCACCACAATGCCTGTTCTCATTTGAAGAGACACCTGCTGGGTCCCCACCCAGAGCCAGGTGCTCCTCTAGCACAAGGGTGCTCGGCACCCAAGACAACCGGCCCAGCTTCATCAGGGCAACATTCCAGTGGGGGTGGGGGGCGGAGCTAGATCATGACAAGACAGAATCCAAAGAGGGCAGGTGGAGGACAGTGGGGTGATGTGGGAGGCCAGGGCTGGCAGCCCTGCCTGTCCTTGCCCACAGCTGGCCAGGGCAGAGGTCATGGGTCAGCATGTGCTGGGCAGGTTTTGAGACGCACACCAGTCTCTTCCTGCTCTGGACTCTGCTTGCATTCGTACAGTCACTCCACAAACATCCAAGCGCCCCCGCGTCGTGTGGGCGACATTGAGCATCCCAGCCCCCACCTTCCTGGGTGCCCAGGACCAGCACTGAAGGGTGGCCCTTATGGGCTCTGCGGACTCAGCTGCATCTCACCACATGCCCAGGACAAGCTCCCATCCCACTGGGCCTGGGGGTTCCCGTGCCTGGGGTGCCCTGAGGGACCCCAGCAAGTGAAGGAAGGAGGCCAGCCAAGATGTGGCAACAGCCCCAGCCGGGAACTGGACACCCAGGGGCCTGTGCAGGCTCTGCCTCCCACTCTGTGGGCAGGTCGCTCACCACCCTAAGACCCGGTCCTTCACCTCTGGGGAAGATGGGCCACACACACTGCCCTGTCCACTGCCCAGGCTGGGGGAGCATCTGAAGGGACCCAGTGGGTTCTGAGACCCTACAGGCCCCAAGGGCTGGGCCAAATGCTGGGCATGGGGTGGAGCCCTCCGGGTGAGCTCATCCTGTCCTCAGGAAGATGGCTATCTGGAGTCTTCCAGCACCCCCACCCCCCAGGGCCTCCATTTTGTGTCCACTGAGCAGATGGATGGTCTCTAGGCACTCAGGGCTAAATTCCTGTCCCCCAGACATCCTGTGGGCCTGGCCTTCCTGCCAAGAACCACAGCCAGCAACCAGCAGGAGCTGCCAGGAGCCTTTCAGAGCCTGGAAACAGGAAGGGCCGTGGCTGTGCAGCTGGTGGGCATCTCGCCAACTGTGGGAAGGTGATGCAGGGCACCGCCAAGGCTCCCCCGGGGAGCAGCCGCAGCCCCAAGGTCAGAGCTCCAAGGCGGGCGGCCACAGCCCCGGGTCCTGTGGCTGACAGTAGGCTGAAGTCACCCAGGAGGGGGCACCCATCTTGCCCCCCTGGCCCGGTCCAGGAAGTCCAGCCAGTCTCTCCCGGGAAGCGGACACCAGGAGGCACCGGACTTGGGCGCGGTGGGAGCCCGGTCCCGGAGGGTCCTGCTCCAGATGAGGCCCAGGGATGGGGCGGGGGCCCAGGGATCCGGGTCCCAGCTGGCGTGGGACCCGGGTCCTCGGCCGCCCCCTTCT